AGGCCAACATGGGGGTCACAAGACCAACATGAGGGCCCTCACGTGGGTCCAAGATGACCCCATGGGTCACAAGGCCAACATAGGGGTCATCGTGTGGGTCATGAGGCCAACATGGGGGTCAGAAGGCCAACACGTGGGTCATCACGTGGGTCACAAAGCCAATGTGGGGGTCAGAAGGCCAACTTGGGGGTCATCACGTGGGTCACGAGGCCATCAAGGGGGTACATGACCACCATGTGGGGCAGAAGGCCAACAACATGAATAATTTCATGAATGGGGCAGAAAATAGGGGTTTTTGGGTTTTTTGCCCACCTCTCTCCACCCCACATCTCTAGGGCTGCCCCATTGAATCCAGGATGATTTTTTGGGGTGAAAAACTGAGTTTTTCCCTATTTTGGGGGTTAGTGATGTTTTTTTAGGGGGGGTTTCCCCACCCCACATCTCTAGGGCTGCCCCATTGGATCCAGGATGAGTTTTTGGGGTGTAAAAACTGAGTTTTTCCCTATTTTGGGGGTTAGTGATGTTTTTTTAGGGGGGGTTTCCCCACCCCACATCTCTAGGGCTGCCCCATTGAATCCAGGATGATTTTTTGGGGTGAAAAACTGAGTTTTTCCCTATTTTGGGGGTTAGTGATGTTTTTTTAGGGGGGGTTTCCCCACCCCACATCTCTAGGGCTGCCCCATTGAATCCAGGATGATTTTTTGGGGTGAAAAACTGAGTTTTTCCCTATTTTGGGGGTTAGTGATGTTTTTTTAGGGGGGGTTTCCCCACCCCACATCTCTAGGGCTGCCCCATTGAATCCAGGATGATTTTTTGGGGTGAAAAACTGAGTTTTTCCCTATTTTGGGGGTTACTGATGGTTTTTTGGGGGGGTTTTCCCCACCCCACATCTCTAGGGCTGCCCCATTGGATCCAGGATGAGTTTTTTAGGGGTAAAAATTGGGTTTTTCCCTATTTTGGGGGGGTTTCCCCACCCCACATCTCTAGGGCCGTCCCGTTGGATCCAGGACGATTTTTTGGGGGCTAAAATTGGTTTTTTTCCCCTCTATTTTTCTGTTTTCTCCCTATTTTCTCCGCCCCCCCCCC